TTCTAGTCGTAAGAAAAAAGAAAAAAAAAAAAAAGAAAAATATTACGCGAAACTTTGGAATATATACTATTTTTATTACTGTACAACGGAGAAAAAAAAAAAAAAAAAAAAAAAAAAAAAAAAAAAAAACAAAAAAAAAAAATAGAATAAAATTCATCCACATTTTATCAAATAAAATAATAGTTTTCCTTCGTTTTCGTTTTCGTTTTCGTTTTCGTTTTCTTTTCCTTTCCATTATTCCTTTTCTTATTGTTTATCGTCAATTTTCTTATCTCGCGTTGGTTTTATTTTTTCTTTAAAAAGTACGACAACAAAATGTATAGGGGAGGGGGGGGGAAAGTGATAACAAAAGTAATAACGCGAAAAAGATACAAAAAGAAAGTAAGAACGACAAATCATTCTATTTTCTGATTTTTTTTTCATCTTCTTCTTAAAAAAAAAAAACAATAAATAAAAAGAAATAAAATAAAAGTCCAGAGACACAGTGAAACTTATAACATATGTATATATCAAGCGTTGCGCATTTAATTTGGATTTTTCTTTTTTTTTCTTTTTATCCACGTAAGAATTGTAACGCGAAATACGGGAATGTTTTTTAACCTTGAACGATAGCCATGCTCAACAACGTAAATGTTTTACGAGGTTTACCTTTTTTTAACGATTATTTCTTCTTGTTAAATCGCGTATTCGTATGCGTGTATGCAAGCAAGTTAATAAGGAGGAGTATGTGTGCTCATTCACATTAGGAGGTGCATTCTTTGTATAAAAAAAAAAACATTTTTGTAAAAAGAACGGCAGCAAAATTGTTTTATAAATTAATTATTTCGTTTCTATTATAAAAAAAAGATCTCAAAAGAATTAGGTCAGAATTTGCACGCGCTAAAAAAAACATTTCTTCTGCGCTTATTTACTTTGGTTTTTTTTTTTTTTCTTTTTTTTTATATATATATAATATATTCTAAAATTAATAAAAATAATTTATCTTCCTTTCTTTTTCTATTTTGTTTTCTCTCTCTCTCTCTCTCTCTCTCTCTCTCTTTGTATCTCTCTCCTTTTTTTACATTTGTTAAAAAAAATAAAATCTCATGATAATAAAAACGTTATTAAAACTATAATTTTATTATAATAATGATAAAATGAAAATACTTGATCAGGATAATATTAAATAAATAAAGATCAAAGTTTAATATATAAAGGACGAATAAAATGAAACAAACCAAAAATTTAGATAACCGATCACAAAACGGGTTCGGGGAAACAAAATTATCGTTCGATTTTTTATTCCTCCCCTTCCCCCACCCACCCACCTTCGAATAAAACAATTTTTTTTTCATTTTCTTCCCCTTTCTTTGTTCCAAAGGTGTCAACGAAAAAAAAAAGGAAAAACAAGAAGACAAAAACTGCGAAAAAATTTCATCGATTCACGTTACTTATTTTATCCCAGACGAAAAATAATAAGAAAAAACAGAAAAAAAAACAAAAGGAAAAGAAAACAAGACAATTAAATTGACTAGGTTTGAGGAATCGCGAACATAATAAACGGCAGTTTGAATATTTCTGCATCGGATGTGTCAAATCTACGACAATACGTGTTGTTATTTTAAATCATCATCATCATCATCATCATCACGAACAAAGTCGATTTAGATTTGTATCAAAAAAGAAAAAAAAACATCGTTTATGAGATAAAACAAAAAAACAAAAGAACATTCGTGACGCGTCGATTAGAAAATACATTAAACAATATCTCGTTCGCGTTATGCAAGAAATAATAATAACAATAATATTAATAATAATAATAAAGAGGAAAAAAAATGAAATAAAAGCAAAAACTAACTTTATTGACATTTGTATCGAAGTTGAACGAGTTAGTAGCAGCAGCAGCATTTGTAGTAATAGATAGTAATAGCAGTATTAATAATAATAATAATAATAATAATAATAATAATATTAATCGATCGTGAACTTCAGTCAGGTTTTCTAGTTCGACCTACATTCATTGTTCGATCAATGCAAAAGAAGGAACTTGCATAAAAGACACCTACGCGTAAATCGTTTAAATTCCGAATCCGAAAAAAAAAAAAATTGAAGAAAAGAAAACACACACGCGCCACACACACACACATTAATCTATTATTTTTAAATAACAAATTACACCGTACACGATTTGATAATAATAATTTTAAGAGAAAAAAAAAAAAAGGAAAGGAAAGAAAAGAAACAAAATTGTTCGAATTTTCGCGAATGGAAACACAAAACGCACGCATGCACACGCCACATGTACACGCGTACACGCAAGAAGAGAAAGGAAGAGTCAATTAATTAAAATAAAATGATAAAATTAAAAAAGGGATACGCGAATTTTAAATATAATAATAACACGGAACGCAAAACCTTAGGATAATAATAATAAAATGACGATCTTATTGTTAATGATAAACGTTGTGTGTATATTTCCCATTTGGGAATGATTGAAACAAGTGAGACGACGTTCTAACGTCTGAGAAAACGATAGGGTTTGCGTCAAACCTTTCATCGAATTCTCGACCTTTGCCCGACCCCAACCCCTCACTCCCTCCCGACCAACCGTCCAATACTGATAAAAATAAAGCATATCATTCTTGACTCGTTTTGGGGTTCTCCATTATTTTTCTGATATAAAAGACCACTGGAAGAACGATTGACGATACAACAACAACAAATTGTCGTCGGAATCGAATTGTTGAATCGTGGCCAGGGTCGAAATAGGACAATCTCAAAATCCTAAAAACGAATCATCCGTCCATAATATAAATATATATTTTTGTTTGTATTTATTTGTGCTTTAAATGGACCCGTAAAAGTTTTTCAAAGGATAGTGAACGTCCTTGATAAAAACTAATCAACTGTGGACCCTCGATCGATCGATCGATCGATCATTTCATTGTTTGCTCGGCAATTCGTAATTGGTGAATTCGGGTTTGATAGGTTTGATGCCGCTCAATTCATCCTGAATTTCTTCCAAAGATTTACCTTTGGTTTCAGGTAATAGGAATATCGTGAATAGGACACTCAATAAACAAAACGCACCGAACATCCAATAAGTCGTGTGATTTCCAAATGCTTCGGTAATGTCACTTGCAAATTTCGTTATGAAAAATGCCAATAACCAACACATAGATACGGTTATACCGGAAGCTTTGGATTTAACATCCGGCGCAAACATCTCACCCATAACTGCCCACGGTAATGGTCCCCAACCGATGCAATAAGTTGTTATGAATATTACCAATGATATAACGGGTAGCATTGCTATCGAATCTACCATTTCTTCGTCTTCGTATTTTTGTAGATAAAAGTAAAGACCCAACGCACCCTGTAACACAAATCATCAAGGAAATAAATAAATAATACGAAGACGACGAATTAAATTCTATGATGGGATCATCAAATTCAAATAAATTCACTTTTTTTTTCTACTTTTTTATTAGGACTTCGTTGGGTATTGTGGGTATTTTGTAGGTATTGCTAACTAGCTTCCCCCTTCATACCCTCGAACCCTCCTACTACTTTGTTTAGGTTTGGGACCAGCTAGGTATTAAAACTAGGCAAAGTTTTTGGAATCAAGCAACACGGTGTTCCCAAGGGGGTCACCCATCCAGGTACTAAAAAAACTGTGCCCAGCGTTGCTTGACTTTTGTGATCGAACGAGAATTAATGCTGTCAGCGCGGCACGGTCGTTGACAAAATAAATAAACAATAATAATAATAATAATCATCATCATCATCATCATTACAAATAGAGTAGTTAACACGCGAGTTTTAATTCTTATTCGATTGAATCATCGTTAGAGTTGTTAACAACACGTGTTCATCGATCGAAAATATATATATATATGCAAATATAATTATTTTACGATATGCAGCAAAGTTGTAACCTTGAATAAGGATAAAACAATTATTACTGTACGTTGCACTCATAATGAATAATTCATTCATTTGAAAATAATCATTTTTAAATTAGATCTCTATGAATAAACACAAAATTCGTGTATTTTAACGATAATATCAATGTGAATAATAATTGGCGGGCTCCCTTGAATTATTTTTTTCAAATAGAAGGTCACGTGAACTATAGACTCTCTACCTACTATAATATAATGCTATACACGTTCCGAGATCTTAACGAGATTGGCCATGAATTCGAGTAAGAAACTCACGGAATGCGTTTAATTGAAACGTTTTAGTACTTAGCTTCTTCCCGTATAATTTGTTCTTTTTTTTTTCTTCTTTTTTCTTTCATTTTTTTTTGTTCTTTTTCTTTACCTTTGGGAATAACCCGTGCACGCATCATTCTTACATCCGTTTTGATGATGATGATTTCAAGATCGAATAATGGAGAATAAAATACACAAAAATGTAATATCAATAATACAATTGTTTTAGGATGTATATTCTTCCTGGATAGATTTAATGTTAATTTCAAATATGAATTAGTTGAAATCAAAGAAAAATAATTACTTACCAAAGTAACTATTTCACCGATACCGGAAGTTATCAGAAGTAATTTTCTTCCAAGTCTGTCAACGATGAACGGGGTGACAAATGATGCAGCAATTTGTACAGCACCGACAATAATCGTAGCAATATCTGGATCCAATGAACTTTTAGCGGCAGCAAATATGTCACCCATGTAAAATAGGACAACGTTTATACCGGTCAATTGTTGAAAGGAGGCCAATAATACCGTGAATATAAGTGCTTTCAAATTTGCTTTTACGGTAAAAAGATCGGAAAATTTCGTCTGCGTTTGTATCGATTCTTCATAGGCAGCCTATAAAACAATATAATACAACAATAACAATTATTATTATTATTATTATAATATATATTATATATATAAGATACGAATGGACCATTTATGTATGAGTAAAACAATTATAATTATAATATATTATTATAATATATATATATACAATAAATAATACGAAAAATTTACGCGTAAGATTTATATTAAATAAATGATAAAATAATTGCGAAAGAATTTTTATATGGGGGCCCCCTGTACCCGTGTAATAATTATCTATTAATCGATATGTTAGAACTTTGTTTACACGTTAATTCATTTTATTTCGTTGTCTATAAATAAAATATGCGTAAAGAGAAGATTAAATAGAGAAGAAGTGTGTTCCGATGTATGTGAATCGATTATTATCAGATCGATAAAGAGGGCCTTCATCTTTGAAGTGCACGAGGTCAATCGTCTGACTTATAATGCACACGACTCAACGATTGTTTTACAACACGTGACTGAAATAATCGTTTCAATTTTCTATAAACACGTTATGATATCGAATTAACACTTATACAATAAATATTCTAATTGACATATATATATATATATATATATATATATATATTTATAATTTAATAATATATTATATATAGGAGTTCGAGATGATTTGTTTATACAAATACACACACTATAGTTAAGATCAAAAAACAACCTTTACTATGGCCTCGTTAAATGAACGTGACCAGACAAGTGATATTAAAAACTGGTTAGATTTATTCCATGACAATACGAGCACGTGATACGTATAACAACTATCGCGTAAATATTTATCGATAAATTAATCATTATGATTTACGATTAAAATAGAAAGACAAAAGAAAAAAAAGAATTTTCGGATTTTTATGATTTTTACCTGCATATCGTTTGCCACACTTTGTACTGCAGATTCACTCGTGCTTCGTAATCTGACCAATGCGGCAATAGCTTCTTCCTTTTTACCTTTTGATATCAAATAATAAGGTGATTCTGGCATCAGCATGAAGACAACGAAAAATATTACTGGTAAACAGGCACATAGGATCCAGAATACCACGTAAGATACGAATGGACCAATTACGTATGAATAAAACAATCCAAAAGTGATGAACAATTGTAGAAAAGATCCTAATGCTCCTCTAATTGACGTCTACAAAAATATATAATATTTTATTTGAAATTTGATCAAGTATATCATTGTTTTTGCACTATATAATAATTATATGACCCGTTTACTTTGAAACTCGCATAAATCCATTTATGTTCCAATCGAAATATTGAAGAATTTGTTTTGGATTAAACTTAATATAAATAACAGATGACATAATAGAATATTGGTTTTTTGATTTCTAAAGGTGTCAAATTAATCATTCTAATTAACATAATTATCATTATTTAAGAAACAATATATTTTTGATGGATATGATTGGATCTTTACACCACTTTCAAAATAAACTTTTTCGTTAGTTCATTAACCAGAAAATTGTCGTCTTACAAAATCTTATATTAGTAACAAATTACTTTAGATTGAAAAGATTGTTTAAAAATGTAACTATTAAGTTAGGTAACTTGATTTTATTTGGATAATAAACTTATGCAACTTTCGAAATAAACGGCCTCAATTATGTTATTCAGAATTTATTTGCGATGATGCAATTAGAAAAGAAACAAAACAAAATAAAAAATCATTCGTTTAACGTTGGTGTCGTATAAAAGAAAAATAAAAATGAGCAAACTCATACCCTCGACGCATAGGTTTCGTGAAAACTTTTATATATATACGTTGTGATGCATGAATAGGAATATTATCTAACGTGTACCGAGTACTTTAATTAGTATATAGTGATTTCGTTTCGAAGATGATTATTTTCCTTACCTCTGCGATCTCTCCCACGTACATAGGCACGACCGTAAATGCGAAGGACAAGGCAATACCAAATATAAATCGAGCTATGTACAATTGAACAACAGTGGTTGCTGTAGCTATCAGTACCCAACCAATGGTAAAAGGTACAATGCAAAATAATAGACTGTACTTTCGGCCAAATCTGACAAATCATATTTTAATTAGAATTATTAACTTTAACATTAACAAAATAAAAATTAAAAAAAGAACCATGAAATGAAACGCCACTATAGTAATTTTCAGTAAATATTATAGTGGATATTTTAATTAGAGTTATTAACTTCAACGTTAACGAAATAAAAATTAAAAAAAAATTGTGAAATGAAACTCCCCACTATAGTGGTTTTGAATAGATATTATAGTGGATATTAATATGAAATGAAACACCATTATAATGGTTTTCAATGAAATTCATATTTTTGATTAGATATCATTGAATTAGATTTGTTTAAATACAAATATTTATTATTTTCTCGTAATTTAATTTAATTTATGTGCACACGTAATGGCATATCATCTTTGCTAAAGGGTTTAATTAATATATGAAATAAAATAATTGATACCTTTCAGCAGAATATCCTGCTAAGAAACTTCCAACTGCAGCACCAAGAGCTACTAAAGATCCTACCCATGATCCTTCGTTTTCCGTAATTGGACGATCCAAAGGTGTATTTTCTCCTTTTTTCAGTCTTCCCAATATTGGACTGGTCCAGCCTAACATTGCACCTGTCGCCATTATGCTTAAATTCGCTGAAAAATTTGTCAAAACAAATTTAAGTCAAGGATATATTTCATTTTAATTCTATTATATTTTATATTTTATTATTTTAATTATATTAACAATTAAAATATCATTTAAATTACTTATATTAATTATTAATATTATATAAATATATTATTTAATTTATTTATAACGAGAAAAAAAAAAATTAAGAATTAAATTAAAATGCATTTCACAAATGTATTTTCAATGATAGAAAACAGGAACGAATATATATTAGCTAATTTTCCATAAAGATAATTAAGCGTTACTCTGATAGAACTATACAAAATAAACTAAGTTTTTCTCAGTAAGTTGTCGCTGGCAACGACCATCGGAGGCGTTTTCTGCGATAAAATCTGTCGTTAAATTAGCACGGGCTTTTGCATAATCGCTTATTGCACTTGAAATTGCTTTGGGTTTTATTAAGGATTGACTGCATGTAACCTGCATTCTTACAAAACGTTTCGCTTTATCGAAGTAACAAAAAAAATAAAGAAAGAAAGGAAAAAAAATATAAAAAGTCGATCCAATTATGTCAGGAATGATCGATTTTATATAATGTTGCGGTCACTGCTGAAGCAAATTGAAAAAGGGGTAGCCAGGGAGTCTGGACAGGGGGAAAGGGGAGAAGGAGGGAGGAAACTCGAAGAAAAAAGAAGCGTTAGGAAAAAAAGGTAAAAAAAAAAAAAAAATAAAAAATCTGTAAGATAATGGAAAACACTCGTAAGAGAGTGGCAAGATTTTTCCATTTGTGGTGGGGGTGTCGGTTAGAATTGTGATAAACGATCGTAACCGGCATCTAACACTCGCGATAATGCTCGACGAATGGTTTTTCGTTCTCGTATCGATTGTATGTGTGTGTGTGTGTGTGTGTGTGTGTGTGTGTGTGTGTGTGTGTGTGTGTCTTGCTTCGACGTTGTTTTTATTTTTCTTTTTCTGTTTTTTCTTATTTCATCAATTTTTTTCCTTTTTTCTTTTTCTTTTTGCATCGCATTGCAGCAGCATGCGTATCACCAATCACGGCAATGTAATAACATTATCATCATCATCATCATCATCATCATCATCATTATCATTATCATTGTAGATGTTATGCAACTCGACCGAGCCTTCGAGGTGGTATGTCGAATCATTCAAACGCAAAGAGAATTACGCAACGATTACCCAAAGAAAACGGACGTGAATTCGATTTTTTTTTTCATTCTTCCTTTTTTAACATTGACACACGAAATGTCAATCGAACAACGAAAACGAGCAGCAACAACAATAATAATTACGAAAAAAAATATTGGCACGTTCGCGAATTCGCATTAAATTAAAAAAAAAATGTCTGAGAAGTTTGATATGAGGGTTGTGGCGAGTTCGGTATGGGGGCATGGAGGATGCATGAGGAAAAACGTATAATAGAAAAAAAAAAAGATAGAGAAAATATTATCTCGCGAGTTTTTTGTGCCTCTTCGAAAATTCCTCTTCTTCTTTTTTTTCGGCAGTTTTTTTATTTAAAGAGCAAACATTTTCGTCCGGGATATTTTTCTTAAACAATCTTTTTGTTTCTTTATACTTGATCGGGTTGTTGTCTTTTCTTCTTCGATAAAAAATTTCCATTAATGGTCTCGACATGAAGGTTAAATTACGCGTGCCGTCCCGTAAAAAAAAAAAGTTCGATATTCGACATTTTTATTATTCATTTCGATTATTACTTTGTGTAGTCGTTAAAATAATAAGTGGGATAGGATTTAGATAAAAAAAATGAAAAAAAAGGAGAAGAAGAAGGAGATAGGTTAAAAAAGTAATAATAATTATAATAAAATGTAATATCAATAATGATCAGAAATAGAAAAAAAATCTTTCGGATCAGACGACGAGGGGTCAGACAACGGCCAAGGAAACGAACCTCGTTCTGTCATACGATATTTCGATTAAACATTTTTCCAACAGTTAGGAAATTTCCTATTAATCTATAATAGACGTTTATATTGAAATTGAAAAAAACAAATTCGACTTATTTATTATCAAATTTTTGATAAATTACGATATCATTTAATAAAACAGACTTGTAAATTACATGAGATTGTATTGAAATATATCGGAAATTGGTGGGCGTGTACGATAAACGTCACGAATTCTTCTTATCGTTGTCCTAAATTTCTGTTTTTTTTTTTTTWTTTTTTTTTTTTTCCTTTTTTGTAAGATGAAAGGTCAAAGTCCAACTTGAGAATCTTTTTTTAACGATTCAACAGACGCAAATATTATTTTTAATAGAGACGCGTATTATATAAATATATGTAATATATATATATTAGAATCTTTAAATATATATTTTTCACTATTAAATGCCAACTCAGAGTTTATGACGTCAAATCGTATTGTGATCTTTAAATCAAATCAAATATATATATATATATATATATATATACAAATCGAATTATTACTCACGTTCAAAGATCTTTAATCGCACTTGAGTTAACAACGTGATCAATGCGATCAATTTTATCGGTTAACATAAATTTCTTAAAGGTTTTACCTTGAATTTAGATTTAATTACATTTGATAGGTCTTTATCATGAAACACGTTAGCTACTTAAGATGCTGGATTAACCTTTAATGATTTTTTCATTGACTTTTCTAAAATAGGGAAAATACTATGGGGGTATTTGATATATATATATATATATTATTTGTTTGGTTGTTTGACGTTTGTCGTCGACCTTCCAATAATTTTCTTTCTTAAGAATCCTTAAAAAACAAAGTATCAAGAGAAAGGAATTAAATTTCTATTGTTCTACAATTTCTTTGTATTTTGATTTAGAAAAATTTGATATATTTTCAAGAAAATCTTTCATACGTTGATTTTTAATTGAATATTAAATATTTGATTTTATATATAAATGTAATACTTTGAAGAAATACTTTAATCACTTTTTTTTGTGAGTCGAAAATAAAAAAAAAAAAAAAAAAGAGAAAAACATATCAAACAAATAATAAATTTCTTGTAATTTGATAAACGACGATGTGTGTATTACTATTTCGTAATATTTCCTTTACAAAATATGACGTTAACAGTGTTTACACATACGTAAGATAACTTTAATTAAATATATAAAAATGAAAAATACGTAGAAAGAAAAAAATAATATTTGTTAGAGACCGTATAATCAGAGTGATTATGTTCGTCATAGTTGTTCTTATCGTTTACGATGCAATTCATATTTACGTATGCGTATTGTTTTTAATTATTAACTATAAACATATTTCTTACGTATGCAGATATATATATGTGTGCACGTTATTTAATAAATATAAGATTTCTTAAAAAGTATCACGCAATAAATTTGATTTCGTATCAAAAGATTGAAGTCTTTTCGCGTATATTTTATCTCGTTCATTTTTATATTTATTATCGTTATTTATTTTTAATTATTATTAATCATATCAGATTGTTTTATTCGATCGTAAAATCATTGACAATTTTTCGATAATATTTGTCAATTTGTAAGATTATTTATTGATTATAGAAAAAAAATATTTCTTGAATTCCAAAGCACAAAATTGTTCTTGTGTCGATTTAAGAAAAAAAAAAAAAAAACTCGTTTGACATTTTATACGATAAACACCTTTCCTATTGTATATTTTGTGTTTCTTATAATGTCAGAATTATTCGATCAGGAGAAAACAAAATGCTGATCATTTTTTATTTCATCGAAAATGTTTTTTTTTTCTCTGTCATCTTGAATAAAAACTTAATTAAGCTTATTAACATACATGCATACACTCACACATACATATTTCGTTTCTTGTTTTACACATAATCTAACTCAGATGAACACATGTTTGGAAGATAAAAAAAAAAAAGGAAGAAACAGAAGCTATTGTGAAATAAGAAGTAAAATAATTAAAAAAAAACAGAACTACCATTGAGATAAGAAATAAAATAATTAAGAAAAAAAAAAATAAAAAATATAATAATAAAGGGGAAATACGTGGAACGTCATTGATTGGAAAATTACACGAGGAAAAGAAAAAAGTGAAGAAATAAAAATCACACGGGAAGATTTAAAAAAATTCGAAATTAATTGAAAGAGGAAACGAATTTTTGTTCTTTTTTTTGTCGACCTAAACGAGGATGAAAAAATCAAATTATTGGAATTAAAATAAGCAGCAGCGAAATAATTGGAACGATTTGATGATGCACAAATATTAAAACAAGTTAGTATCCGGTGTTAACGATTGAAATTAAAGTATGAGCTTGTAAGAGATGTAAGATCTTTCAATAAAGCCGAATTACTTCCTCATTATCCGTATTAAAACCATTATAGTAATCTCCGACGGTGAGAGAATAAAACATGTGAGTTACTAAATATAATACAATTTTCAATTCTCGTCGTTATTATTCTCACTGTTCTCACGATTGCAATTTCAATTATTTTTCAATTTTCGATTCAACTGTTGCTAATATTTCAAACTAATTGATCATTCAAAAGAACTACGAAATAAACTTTCCCGTTTTTAAAGAAAAAACCAAATTATTTACATAAGTATTAATTGTTGCAATTAATTGACATCAAATTCGTTGCATGAAAATTGGCATATTTTTTTTTTTCGCCGAAGAATTATGTTTCTACAAACAATTGTCTGAAAGATTGACGCAAGTCATCGAATAATAATAAAAATTATTTCGAAGAATAACTTGATTATTTAATACGCAAATATTGAATTTGTTGAAACAAATAAAGTATCGAATTAATTGCTATCACATAATATTAGAAAATAATTTGTAATTTATATGTTTAAATAAAAAACAGATTAGGCGAGTAAATAATTCGATGATTAAATGATCGAATTAATATATAGATTGTATATACAAATAGAAGATAAATGTTAGCATGTATTGTACGTAAGAGTGCTGGTGAAGGGGGGGGGGATGAATAGATATTACAAAATAGGATAAAAAAAGGAATAATTATTTTTATAGTCAGCAATTAGGCGAGACGTAAATTAAATACATGACACGTAGACGAATAAAGGTATATAATGATTTTAAATATAGTAACCACACAAAATCAAGTTATGTGGCACATGACAACAAAAGCATCGCATAACACTATTGAACTTTAACATATTCGAATCTTCTTAAGCACGTGCGTGAATTCGATACGTCATTTAACAATTTTTATTTGCATACTTCCGGACTTAACTCTACGTTCCCGACGTTATCTTTTTTTTATGTTAAGAAGTTTAATTTATGTTAAGAAGTTATTGTATTTTCATTTTTCTGACATCATGGCTAAGTTCTAAATATATATATATATATAATCAGGTTATTATTGCACAACTTACAAAATTTTTGTACAATGTTTTATCATTACTTTACTTATATTTGTATCTCACAATTTTTGGTTTATGCTAAACTCACCCCTCCGCTACGAATATTTATAAATAATCTTAAAATCAAACAATCACCTAAGCTAAGTTTTAAATAAAATATACGATTAATTTCGCATCGGTTTTGATATTGAAAATTAATGAAAAATAATTATTTGAAAATAGGGATATAATTAAATTCGAACGGAATGAGATATTTGAAATAAAATTTGTCGTCAGAATTATGTCAGGCTAATTGTAATCCACGGAATTGTGTGAATCACGTTTGTTAAAATAAGAAATATAAATTCAATTTGAAATTAATTGTCATTTTAACACGCGCGATAGAATAATCGATTGTAGTATATGCAAAAGAAATAGATTAGTGTGATTTAAAATACACACCCACCGTGACGTTTTTATACGTAAGCTTTTAGTCACGTGGGTTGCATCTATTCGAGGACGTCGGCATCGAGTTCGAAGTTCGATCAGAATGTTGCGCTTGTTTTAAAAACACGCGAATGCGCACGTGCATCTCTAAATTATTTCATTAATCTCTTTCTCTTTTTATTTATCTTTTTTATTTTATTTTTTTTTTTCCTTTTCTTTTTGTTTTCATTTATTTATGTAATTAAATTTATTTGCGGATTTATTCATTTGTAGATTTATTTTCATTCAATTTAATTTCATTTCATTTAATTATTTATTTATTTATTTATTTATTTATTTATCTGTGTTACCGGTTGAAAGTAACTATTATTATTATTATTATTATTTAAAATGACATGCATAAATAGTTCACTGTGCTCAATAATTAACAAATTGTACTAACTAACGTCCTGTTATTATTACATCGAAACGTAATTTAATTCTTGAAAGTGATTAGACAATTTTGTACAATAATTGATGCCAAGAAAATAATAGTTTAAAACTTTATTAACGAAAAGGAAAAGAAAAAAAAAACAATAGAAAGGAGAAAATTATATTCCAAGATTTTGTTTTCTTCTTTTTTTCAAATATAATTGTCTTACAATGAGTCAATTTAAAATAAAAGAAATTCTTCGAATTTTTGTCGAATCCATTTTAATCGTGTCGCGAATAATTTTCATTTATATTAAATGAAGAAAATCAAATTGACGTATTAATAGGAACGTTTGTGTTAATTCAAACGTGTAAACTTACAATTAAACGAATTCCATTTCAACATTAAATTCAAATGATCCAAACAACAATAGTAGGCAACGATTCGAATTCGATTAGATACAAAGAGACACAAAGAAAATATCTACTACACAATTTGAAACTCGTGTAGGTGTGTGTATGCGTGTATATATATCAGTGTATATATGTGTCAGGACGTGATACATGGCTTATTGCTTTTATGTGTTATCGAACAAAGTTTAGCTATTTTCGTTTCATTTGTATCACGCAAATCCGAATCCTTTCACACAAATTATTATTATTTTATTAATAATATTATATTATATTTAATTAGATCTTTTTTTAGTCCCATAAATGTATCCCATTAAAATGTGTTCGCAACACATCATTTTGTACATTTCAAAATGAAACAATCCTCAAAATTTTTCTTCGATTTATTCAATCGATTATTTCGATTTAACCCGATTGTTTTTTTAACGAAACAAAAATTAAAGATTATTAACTAGAAATGTATTATATCATTTTTGGTATTTAACAACATAATAACTGGATATTACTGTGCCTAAAATTTCACGATAAAATTTGTTATAACGTTAAAAATTATATAATACTTAAAGAAAGTATGTCTCAAAAATTCGCTTTTACCCAACAGAAAAATTTTAAGTAATTTTTTTTAAATAAATTTCTATAGTTCCAGCATCGTGGGTTAAGGTTTTTTTTTTATATATATAAGAAGATAAAAGAAAAACGATCACCGGAAAATAAATATTTGTAATTTTTAATATTAACGCAACCCTATTAAAATTTACTTTCAAATTTAATAATCAAACATAACGCGTAACAATACGTTCTAATAAAAAAAAAATTCGATATAATTTATAAGAATAAAAAAAAAAGAAAAAAAAAAAGAAAAAAAAAAAGAAAGAAACACCAATGCAAAAGATACAAATCTTGTAAATGAAAAAAAAGCATTTAAAAACATTACAATATTTTTCACAAATATATAATATTATTATAACAAAACAAATAAGAGAAATATAATGAAATATATTTTATATTAAATAAAAAAATGACTGACCTGCAGCAGCTGCAACGTATTGCAATAAAGTAGATCCTTTCTCAGCCATTTCTTCGGCAGCACTGCACTTGCCCTTAACCTTTCCAAAAGTGGCTGATAATTTGCACTCGTCTGCTTTATTTTGATTATTTTCAACGAATGTTTCTTTATCAAGGGTTGTTATTGTTGTTATTATTGTATCTGTAGTAGTGTTGGTGGTTGGTTCGTACACTGCCGAAGAGGAACTCACTGGTACAGGGCTGTATGCATACTCTTTATATGACCGCCCCTCTATTTCTTCCTGCTGATGGGTGGGGGCCATTTTCTCTCTCTCTTTCTCTCTCTCTTTTCCTCTTTTCCTTCCTTCTTCTCTCTCTCTCTCTTTCTGTTTCTACCTTTGTCTCTGTCTTTCAAGTATTCTTCTGCCACTGGTTAAACGTAATTCTTCGATTGGATAGATGCAACGACACCGTAGAAACGAACGATAAACCTCGACCCTGAAAAATAAATAATTCTTATGTTAGATCATATATTACTATAATGTCAGGGTCATTTTTACGCTAGCATTAATATGATTTAACTTTTACGATAAACATTAAAGAGAGAGTGAGATATGGTATACGTTTTGATTGATCATAAAATTATTCAGATATCTAATTTATTTGTACGCGTCTATGTGTTTGTTTATCGTAATAGAATAATTGTAAGGATTGTGTGTTTGTGATTTGAATTTGAAAATTTTTAATATTTTGTAGATTTCGATATTTTGTGTATACATGTTTTGGGTGTTCGTAAATTAATTTTAAGATTCATTTTTATTAAATGCAATTAGTAAATCTTATATTTTTAATTCAGGATACTTGAGAAGTTTTCGATTAGTCTGTTAGCGTATTTATGAATGTGAATGGATTGATTTTTTGTTGGTTTATATATTAATCGTTTGGTATTAATTAGAAAATATAATTAATTAGTAATTGATAATTGGATTTATATTTGACAGAAGAATATATTGTGTCTCTATATATTTATGTTTTTTTCCGCTGCATTCTTTTTCTTTATCTTACTCTATCTATCTATCTATCTATCTATCTATCTATCTATCTATCTATCTCTCTATCTTTCTATTTGTTTTTTATTTGTCATTTAAGTTTTCGTAATACAATATCAATAGACAAAACGAACGCGTCTATGATCGATATATATTTAAACAGTTTCAATTTTGTCTTCTAGTCGAAATCAAGTGATGAAAACTCGCAACACGATAAATACTTCCTCGCGTATATATAAATAAATAATTATATTTATACATGTATTTATGTATGTATTTATGCATGTATGTATTTATGTATTTATATACGCATGTACGTAAATTTTAAACGGATGTTGCTTATCATCTTGGCCAAGTGGACTCTTGTTGGCTATTTCTTTATGGATGATATATATTTAAATAATTTGTTTGAGTAATTATTGAAGTTGAGGGAGTCCGATTTTAAAAAGATAAAATTAAAATAAAAAATCAATAAAAAAAGTTATATGAAAATATATGAATAAATAAATAAATAAATATATTTAACTCGAGCGAGAGTTTTGCAAACAGATTGATTAATAAATTCATATATCTTCTAATACTGTTTAAATTTTGGATCGCAGAAAAAAAAGGGGGGTAATGGTCACCCCATTGAAATACAAAATTAATGCATCCTGCAAGCGGTAAATTTAAAAGGGCTTCGGAATAAATAAAACACGGAAGGGTCAAGCAATTCCCCCTATCTTTTATATTATTATTTTAACAAGGACACTCGTTGGAAAAATTTTAAGTTAAAAATATTACTGTCCATATATATATATATATATATATAAGAATTATGTTAAATTGTATTATTGATAATTAAAAATCAATTGGAAAGTTTTTTTTATCTTAAATACGAGAATAAAAATAAAAATATGATTGCACAGTTAATTGCGATAATAAAACTAATTGCAAGTCAATATATTATACAAACTTATTTAATGATTCATCTTGTAATATTTAATTATTTGAATATAAAATATAATCGTATAAAATTAGATCATAAATAAAATATTACAATTACCAGAGAGAGAGAGAGAGAGAGAGAGAGAGAGCAGAGAGAGAGAGAGAGAGAGAGAGAGCACATATATATTATAATAAATTTTTCTAAACATTTAATTAGATATTATGTGTGTTTTCTTTTATAATTTGCACATATCGAATTAACGACAAATTAATAAATATGAAAAATCGTATCAGAAATTTGAATAAAATTAGTGTAATATAAAAGAAGATATGTTAATTCTAGTTAATCTATCATCGAAATATAAATTATGATCTTAAATAGATCGATCAATCGATCGATCAATTCTTCGATAGATTTTGTAAAGTGTCGTATAACATACAAACAAACCATTCGTCTTTTTCAAGTACCAACCTTGTTTTCACGATCAATCCTAAATACCATTTTTATAATTAAAATAAGATAAAATAACTTGAGAGGGATTTATTATCACTATAATAGGAGATTAGATATAAATCAAACATATAAAATATTATTATAATATAAGATAAGAAGATACGCAAAATGAAATAACAAAAATATTAACGAACGGATCGATCGATTCGAATTGTTTAACGATTAGATTAAAAATGTTATATTTATTGATTGAAATAGCTATCGTTTTGACGTAAGGTATTTAACAAAAAAAAAAAACAATAAAATTAAATTTTATTCATCCTCAAACATTTCCATACTATTTTTAATTATATCAACGAAGTGTACATTTTACTTTAATCCAATTTTTTATTATTAAAACTATCACGAATAAAATTGTAGAATTTAATTGACAGAAAAATATAGACGATTTTAAAATAAAAAAATATCTTTCAAAGAAAATAAACCATTTTACAATTCACACATACGATTTGTATAATATTTGAATAAAAATATATTGAGAATATTATATCTCTTGTATGTGTGTATGGTAACACATGGAAAGATTTTAAAAAAATATAATGTCAAAGTTGGAGCAAAAGAAAAAAAAAGAAAATAACTGTAAGTAACATATAAGTTAAGTTTTAAAAAATTGACAGTAACAGAAGTGTATTTCCTTTCCCGTCTCTTTTTAATCTGAACAGACGAGCGCTAACCCCTCTAACACCACCCCTCCGTTTCCATCCCCCTTTTTACATTACGTCTAGAAAATCAATAAAGCGAAACAAGCACGAGACTCGGAATGAATTCATTGATGAACTTGCGCACGTGGGTTTATATGAAAATATTGTATGCCAACATCGTTACATACATAATTGAATTCTGTGTTTGATATTTAACGAAATCTTGAAATCACATTGATAAAAATAGTTTTAATTAATTTAACAGGATGCAATTGATATAAAAAATATAAATATTATAAATAAATAACAAAATGTAAGTTACAACAGAAGAAATACGATAAATTACGTTCACGTTTAAAAGCAAAATAATCGATGTATTTTAAAATGATTAAGTGTGTTCTCTCGTGCTTCTGTGTTTATCTGTGTATATATCTGTGTGTGTGTGTGTCGTTACAGATGCTCTTCGTTGGAAAATTTTATTACAAAGAGATACGTGTAAGTATATACGCGTGTGTGTGTAATGCAACGACATAAATGATTTCATGAGTGAGCGTTTCTTTCAAAAATTCCACGAACCAGTCAAAAATAAAAATTTTTCATCAAGTTAATTATTTTCCACGTACAATTCGATGATCGTTAAAAATAGATGAAACGTTGTTAAAAGAAGAGAAGAGGGATGTTGTGGGTGGGGGTGGTGAGGGTGGGAGGTAAAAGAATTGGGAGAAAAATTAAAAGAATAGAAAAGAAAAGGTTTACGTCACAAATAGTTGATTATTATCGCAATGTGGTTCGTATCATCGTAAAATGAAAACGTGTTATAGTTGAGTGTCATAATTTGTATATTGCAATGACTGACTAATCATATTCGAATAAATTCACATCTAAGAAAACAAATGTTTCTTCAATTATTTTGCATTCTCTCTGTTTCGTTTCACGAAATTCTATCATTCGGGCAAATTAAAAAAAATGGCACAATTGTCGATAATATTTAATGAGAAAAATAAAATGACACTACCGAGTAATGAAAATATCTAATCGAATTTCTAGAAAAAGAAAAAGAAAAAGAAAAAGAAAAATTTAATTAAATATATATTTCTGGCTATAATATCAAATTCAAATAAATTCATTTAAACGAACAAACATCGTTAGTTATTGCAATCGCATTCATTCGATATCGAATTACACCAATAGGTTTTTTTTTGTTTCAAATTATTATTATTAAAACAAATATAATATCTATGAAATAATTCTCAATAGAAAATCTATCTAATCGAAAATCTAAGATTCTTTGAGACAGAGTGTCACAATAGTTCTCCATTTACTATCTTAACTTAAAATAGGGGAATACTAGACAATTTTTCTTTAAGATCTTTCATGTGAAATAATCGATATCGAACCAACATCGATAATACGCATTTACGTCGTCTATTATCCTCCCCACCACCCCGTCACATTTTATTCCATCGATCTTGTCACGATTATATAATCATTGCAATCAAATGCACTAATGAATTTTTAAATAATAGATAATTCAATCATAAAAATAAGAATAATAATTGGACTTACCGATCAGCTTGGTACGCTTAACACTTGAAAATGATCTTTTCACTTAAGAAACAACTGTAATATAGACCCCTTGATAATTTTTTTCTTATATAATCGACCGAGAAACATACGATTCTCTTTATCTTTCGTTGTTGTTGTATATCGTTTACTCTACACTCTTCTCTCTCTCTCTCTCTCTCTCTCTTTGAATGATTATATTCGTTTAAATACAAATTCTCGTCGGAAAAATTTTATTTTCGATAAATAAAATTGGATCATTTTATTTTTTCAATGGAAAAAAATTCTCTATCTCGATTATTCGTATTATATTTCTACGAAAATTTTTTTATACTTCGCGTATTAATTTTTCTATCTAACGAATTGATACACACAAGAAAGAAAATCATTTATATTGAATGACATTTTTATTAATTATTTTTCGTTTGAATTTTTGCACCTAATGAATTTTATAAGATTATACAAAAGAATAAATTCTTGTAACATGGATGTGAAATGAAAATAGTGTTCATTAGTATTGAATCATACTAATTTAATAATTAATATAATGAGTCTATATATATAACTAATTATTAATATACCTTTTGTTTACTGATTTTGTTTTTATTTTTTCTTTTTTTCTATTACAA